AAAGACTATGATATAGGAGCGAATGTGTCGCATATCGTCCATGGGGTGTACACTAAACACTCTAGACAAGTGAGGAGAAAACCCCTCACTCATTATTTCCCATATGCTTAAGGCTCGTGGCGTACAATGTTCATTGTCTTTATTAAGTGTGATAGCATTGTTTTGAGAGAGAAAGACGCATGAAAGGTCTAAGGGAAACTCGGTCCTAACGTTATCATGCAAAATGACCCTAAGGTCGGGATGCGAAAGGAAATTCTATCCTAATGTTAGCATGCAAAAGATGGACCTAAGGTTGAGGTTAAAAGGGACCAACCTACTTGTTATCATGCATGAATTACACTCCTAATATCTATCCTAATCCAAACTTTAATCGGAAATTAAATTGGACTAGGAAACCCAAGGGAGCATGCAAAAGTAAGAAAACAAGACAAAAACAGCGGCTACAACAACGCTTCATGCACCAAACAACAATAAAATCCAGCAAGGCAGCACAACAAAATTTAACAGCTACTAATTCAGCATAAAAAGCAGGTGTAAAAGGCAGGCAACAAGCAAGCATATCATAAACAACATGTAAATTCAGAATAAAACAGTTGTAGAAAATAGGGCAGCAGGCATGTTTCAATGCAATCAACATGAGCAAGCATCAATCATGAACAAGCATCATGCAAGGATGTACATGCATCAACAATCAAACACGAATGTTCAATAATATTGTATCATCAAGAATCAACAAGAACAACATGCTTTTCATATTAATTAAACAATTAAACAATCATGCGACAAACGAAATCAGAAGCAAACACGCGCATGCATCATAAGTTCAGCAAGATAATCATCGACAAATAATCATTAACATGATACAAGCAAACAAAGTGTATAATCCTCACATCAATCAAGAAACATGAACATGTTAAGCATTCAAACAAAAATCAAAAGTCACGCGTCGAAGAATCACAATCAAACAATCAAGCATGATGATTAGTCTACACAAATGTATCATATCAATCCATGAAGGTTAGAGGTGGAAAGAAATCAAAACATGCTTAAAAACAACCAAAAATCACATTCTGGTCTAGTGTTAATCGATTAACCATTTGCCAGTGCAAATTGGTTAATCGATTAACCACTCAAAAATTGTTGAATTTACACTAGTTAATTGATTAACCAGTTTTGTACTGCAACTGGTTAATCGATTAACATTGCACCAGAAGCATAAAAACAACAATTCAAAATCACTTTCAGCAATTAATTCAATGTGCAATCATCCAAATGATCATGTAATCAATTATACACGAATTTAACACCAAAAATCAGCGATCAAACATCAATCAAGTATTGAGATCACAAATCACATAGATCAAAATTACCAAAATCAATTAAAATTGAAGATCTACATTGTGATCATCCAAATAAACTCAAAACAAAAATGGATCTAGAATTAACCAACCTTCAAAACTGAGATTTTCTTTGGTAATTATTGATTTACTGTAAATTGATAGATCCAAGCTAGAAATCAAAAGAAACTTCAAGATCCAAGAGCTTTCTTGCAAGAGAAGGGAAGAACAAGCCAAAATAAGCCAAAATTGTTCTAAGAATCACTTATAAGCTTGCTTCCAAAATCAGATCCAAATCCCAACGAAAATCAAATGATGAATTGAAGATGATGGAGATTAACGATGGAGGTTTAGCTATAGAATTCAAGGATTCTAATGAAAAATCAATGAACTCAAGAAAAAAGCTCTAATGGAGTTTTGGAGTGTAGAAAAGAGAGAATTTGAGAGAAAATTATAGAGAATGAGTGTGAAATCTGAAATTATGAGGGTTCTTGTGAGAGGTTTGGAGCAAATTCACTTAAATAAGCTCTTGGTTAGGAGTAGAATTATGGTTAGGAATGAGGCTTTGCAAATTGGAATGAAAAATTGGAGGGAAATTGGATTGGTTTTGAAAATTAATCAAAATTTAGAGTGATTTTAGATCCTTCTTCTGGTGTAAAAACCAATTCACAAGTGATCAAAATAGACCCGAAAGTGGCAGCATTGAAAAAGCACGTATCTGTGCAAATTTTTCTTTGGTTAATCGGTTAACCACTCCCAAACTTTGAAAAATGCGCCATTTGAAGGGAAACTTGCATATTCGTCCGTTTTCACCCGTTATGAGCCATGTTAAGCCTCTGAAACTTGCTTTTTGATATTATAACTGTGAAAATGCTTAAGATAACCTGTGACATATCTCTTGTGCTGAAAATAACCTACTGAATAAAATAAAAACGACCACTCGATTGCTGGCAAAATAAGTGCCGAAGTCTCTGACATTCGCTGTTTAAACTCTTGCAATAAAAAAGAACCCTGAACATAGAAACACCTTGATTCCATGTCTCGAGAAGCAATGCCATGATATGCAAAAATGAAAAAATATAGAGAAACATAAGCCAGTTACAAATAAAATGACATAAATTTTTTTAAAATGTTACAGTAATGTATATAGATTTTTCTTTACACAATCCCTTATATAAACTTTACTGAATCAACAAATACTTAACCTTTATTTATCAAATTTTAAAAATACATGCTCCGACAAACCTTATTACATCAAATTTAGTATCAAAATTAATCTCTATTTGATATCAGATATCAATTATTAGAACAACTAGTAATCAAAGAGAAAACATATACATAAAGCGCAAATAATGTATAAGATTTTGTTGGCACAATTTGACTAAAGTGTGTCTACTTTACTACCACACATAAATTGTACATTTGAGACAAGTACAACTCTTCTATACTCTTCATCTTTATGAACCATATTTAACTATCTTCTTTTATATATATATAAATTAATTATAAAGAAGGTGAAGGCCATATGATCCAATGGGTGGAGAGCAAGTTGAGCCAGTTTATGAAGCTCATGGATAACACCATGATTTGATATATTTAAACCAACTCATGGATAACACCATGATTTGATAAATTTAAACCAACGTGTAATGAAAATGGAATTTGCTAAAATCAATCAATGATCCAACCCACCCACTTAAGCCACCATAACCCAATTTTCTCCCACATGGCTTCTTTTTATTCACATGCTAATTAGGATAATGAAATATGACAGCATGCCTACTTGGAATTCTCCTCCAAAAGCAAACAATTTTTTATTTATTTAAATAAAGATAAAAGGAGTGGGAATTGATGAGCATGAGAGTTTTATTGGTGGAATAAGTCAACCAATGAGAGATCAAATTAAAAGACAATAGAATAAAACACAATCTTATGATTTTTCTAAATTGTCCCAAAAGCAACCAGATTGTAGGCCCAACTAGAACAACTGTCCAACTTTTATTTGTAGAATAATACTATAGTTGATGACTTGATTCACCTGAAAAATATTATTTTCTTTAAAATATAGGCTTTGCCTGCTCTATGAAGATTTGCTAAGATCTTATGGAAGACTATTATTAGTATATTTGCTTACCTCATTTCCCACTTCTTATATTCCATCATTTAGTTTCTTCTACTATTTCTTTAATTTTTATTTCTTTTTCTCTCCATTAGAAAAGCATTTATAAAACATGGTCATAAACCAACATTTCATTCATATCAATGATAATATATTCAAACACCTTAATAGAGAATTTGAGAAATATTTAGTAATCATATGGTCACAACCCCAATATTTATTTTCTTATATTATTCAGATAATATTTCATCCATTAAAAATTATACGTATTCACACATTTAACATATTAGTAAGTCATAATTGTAGTTCGTTAAATTAATATAAAAAAAATTAAATTAATTTCAAATACAGTTTATTATACAGTAAAATCTCAAATCCTCAATTTTATTAATAAAAATATTTTAATTAAATTTACACATTACAATAACAAATATTTCGTATATAATATTGTTATATAAAAACATGGTCAAGAAAAATATATTAACATTATTTTCTAATGTGCTTGTGATGGTGGGAGGTTTATTAAAAACTATAATTAGTGCTGAATAATCAAATTTGTACAGATGTTAGCATTATATAAATAACTTCAATTGAATATAACTCTAGTAGATGGGACTTGGCTAATGCTTAGCACCTATTATAGCAATATTAATTACCAATCTTTAATATAATATATGACAAACTTAGGTAGAGGACAATACATTAAGCCAAAAAGTCATTGGCTAGTCACTAAAATAATCTTAGATATGCAAATTTTAGTACAATAGTAGATACGTTATAAAGTTAGTGCATCTTTCCTTATAGATGAACACATCTTTTTTTCCTTTGACTTTTTGTTGCTACAGTTACTTAAATAACTTTAATCATGTCTTAAGCAAGGAATATATCTATTCTTTAATATAAAAGAATGCCAAGTGGAACAATAATTAACATTAAGTGCTTATATACCATCTAATTAATTACACTTTAATAAATTACAATGAATCTCTCTCTAATCGTAAACCTGATGTCCATCCTATTATAATATATGAAATATTAGCGCAGACACGAACATGAATACATATACTCTTTCTTAAAAAATTTAAGTAATAAAATATTTATACATATTAAATAAGTGATTAAGAGTTTGATTTAGAGTTGTGCAGGAAAGATTTGAATGATAAAAAAATCTAACATCATAAATTTTTTAATATAAACAAATATACTGTTATAATCTCCGAAATCAAACACATCTTTAATTTGAAATATCGATATTATAATACTAATTGTTTTTTTTTTTCTATTCATAAGAAACATTGCATGTAAGACTGCTTCCATTTTATGGCATTTTTCTTTTGAAGCTTTTATTATAATATATAGTTATTGACCTTAGGTTCCATATGTTGTCCAATGTACCATAAAACTATAGTTTAGTATTTTTTTAATACATGTATAGTGCATGTTTAAACCTAAGAGCTTACTATAAAAGGAACATAAATGAATACCAACTAATCAACCCAATTCAAGCTCAAAAAAATATTTCTTTGATTTATCTAAGAGAGATTATGGAAAAGGAAATGTGTGATATTTCTGTAGAGAAAAGGCTTAGACTATTTGGTTTTGAGCTAAATCCAATAAAGAATGATATTGAAGGACTTGTGAAAGAGTCTAATGAAGGAGATGAAAGTGTGAATTCCTCAAATTCATTTTCATCATCCGGAGAGAAAATTGTGCAAGAAAAAGTCTCATCTAGAGACCAACAAGATGAGAGAAAATTTGAGTGTCAATATTGTTTGAAAGAATTTGCGAACTCGCAAGCGTTAGGAGGCCATCAAAATGCACACAAGAAAGAAAGAATGAAGAAAAAAAGATTGCAACTTCAAGCTAGAAAAGCTAGCATAAACTATTATTTACAACCTTTTCAAAAGAATCACCATGGTTTTTCTTCTTACCATGGTTCTTCTGATACTCATTGGTTTTATGACCCTTCTTCTTATAACAACTCTGAAATTTCATTGTTTGAAGAGTCTCAAATTAGTTTCAAGTCAAAAAATGTTCATGATGCCAATTCTTGGTATTCTTTGCCTTCTCATCATCATGTTAATGTTCCTACCTCTCAACATGATGCTTGCATGTTTACTTTCTCTAATAATGATGTTAGGCCTTTCATTTTGGATCCTTCTTCAAACCAAAGTCATAGTAAAGCTTTGGATCTTCAATTAGGTCTCAATTTGGAGTCAGATTCTAGAAGCTCTTTGAAAAGGATATAAACATGTGGTAGCAATTTCCTTGAATTATTTGAATGCATAAATTCTCAAACATCAAGGAAATGAAAAGAAAAAAATTATTATTCTTTAGTGTTGGTTGGCCCTAACCCTATCGAACCAAATTATAGAAAAGTCTCATCAATGATTGTTCGAAGAATCTTTACAATTCTTTATGATGTATTTATTTTATGGTATATATTTCATTCATATTACATTTACAAGTTGTCTCCTTTACTCTCATTTTAATTCTCTTTTTGCAAGTTGGCAAATAGATTCACCTCTTATTGTTTCGATTATTTAAATTATATAAATTAACACATTTAAAAGAATAAATTTAGTTTCTCCATAACATGAGCAGTTTGATTAGGTAAGATAATAATAGAAACTAATATAATTAAGATAATTATGATTTTTTTTCTTTTATTTTGGTATATCCTATAATCTCATCTCAATTGATGAATAAGTTTTTCATGTGTAATTGTTTTTTTAATAAAAAAGTATTATCTCTGTCTCATAAAAATGATCTTATTTGAATAATTTATAATTTTTAAGAAAATAATTAGAGGTGTTGATTTTAATAATAAAATTAATATGTATCATTTATTAATTAGAATATCTTTATTAAGTATAGGTAATAGTGTAGTTAAATAAAGTGAAAGTTAACAAATAGGGGTAAGATAGTGAAAAAATAATAATAAATGCTGCATTGATATTAAATAGGGGCAATTATTTTGAGACATAGAAAAAAAATGTAAATGAGAAACTTTTTATGAGACAGGGGGAGTAGTTGTTAAGTACCTATAAAAAAGTTAATCAACAAGTACATAACATAAAATGATATTCATGATCAAACATTAATTAATTTCTTGTGGATGAGATGACAATGAATAAAGTTTGAATAGCGTATTATGGTATCTATTGTAACATCGGAGGCTGAAGAATGAGAGGATCTTGAGGTTGTGCAAGTATAAGACCGCATAGTTAAAGGAAGGTTTATAATGATTGGTTGATACCACATATACCAACAAGATGCATTTTCTTTTTCGGTAGCCTAACAAATAAGAACGTCATAGTTTAGCGTGATTGACTTAGAGTAGTATTTGGACGAGTGACATTTTGGGAAGTTTTTCGAAAAACGTGTGAGTAAGGACAAAGCATGCTAAAAAGATCTGTGTTAGTGTGTGGGGTCAGTCGATAATCGTGAAAGTAGTTTGAGACGTTACAAATGGTATTAGAGCAAGCACTTTCCAGTATAATATATCAAATAGATATCCGGAAAAAAAAATACTTATAAGTATAATTGTTATCCAAAAAAATACTCATGCCTATTATTCAAAGTGGATTTCGCTCAAGCTTACGAATGTGTTGAATGGGAATTTCTTGAAAAGGTGTTGATATCAATGAATTTTGGTGAAAAATGGTTGTAATGGATGAATTGAGGAATTTTTAATAGTTTCCTTTCGGTTTTGGTGAATGGAAACCCAACAAGAGACTTTAAGGTTATCAGAGGTCTTAGACAAGGAGACACATTGTCTCCATTCTTGTTTACCTTGGTGGTGGAAGGGTTGTCACATATAATGAGAAGGGCAATCAATAGGAATATTTTGAAGGGAGTCAACTTAAACTGTGAAAACTCTATTAGCTTACTACAGTTTGCCGACGATACGATTTATGGCCTGTGAGGGTTCTTGATCAAATTTGTGGGGAATTAAAGTTATTCTTATGGGATTTGAAATTATTTCTGGGATAAAAATCAATTTTTGGAAAAATTGCTTGTATAGGGTAGGGATCGAGGATTCATTCTTGTTGGAGGCTGCTCAATTTTGTCTTGTAAATCAGGTATGCTCCCATTCAAATTCTTAGGCCTTACTATTGGAGGCAATCATAGGAAAGCCGCATTTTAGAAACCAGTGATTTCATGTTTCAGATCCCGATTGCCAACATGAAAAAGGAAAATGCTGTCAATTGGAGGGAGGGTGATTCTTATCAACTCTGTTTTGACAAATTTACTGGTGCACCATCTCTCCTTTAACAAAGTTCAGGTCAAAGTTGTCAAAGAAATTGTGGAAATTCAAAGGAAATTTTTGTGGTCTGGAATTGTTGATAAGGGAAGTACAATGTGGGTTACTTGGAATTCGGTTTGCAAGCCAAAGAACTGTGGAGGTTTGGGAATAAAGGATGTCAGATTGTTTAATACAACTTTGCTACCAAAATGGTTATGGAGATTCATCCATAAACTTAATGCACTTTGGAAAGGAATCCTAGAATTTAAATATGGATGTTTGGAAAAAAAATATCTATTCAAAGTGGTGCAAGGTGGATTATAATACGAATCTTTATGGTGGAAAGATGTAATGTCGCTAGGTGATTCAGTGGAGGAGGTTGAATTCACTAGTCAGTTAGCTTGGAAATTAGGGGATGGAATGTCTATTCCATTTTGGAATTCCAACTGGTTAGGACCAACAAAATTGAAGATTTATTTCCGACATTGTTTGAGGTTGTTGAATTGAAAGATGGGGCGGTGAATGGTATGTGGAGGTCGGTCAGTGATGAGTGGCAGTGGGATGTTGGGGTGAACATGATGGATATTAGGGGCAGTGTAGGAGATGAACTCAAGGTGCTATTGGTGTTGTTGTCAGATGTAAAGCCTAACCTTGGTACTAAGCACTGTTGGATGACCGAGGGGTGCATCTAACAACTTTACAGTTAAATCTTGTTATGAGCTTTTGTTGCAGGATGGTGGGCAAGATGGCTTGAAGGATAACATTAAGATGGCGTTGGAAATTCTGTGGGAATCGAAGGTTCCTTTGAAAGTAAAGATTTTTGGTTAGAGATTGTTATTAAATAGACTACTAAAGCGGACCAATCTTGCGGAGAGAGGTGTCATTATTAACAACCATTAACAGGTATGTGCATGTATGTTGTTTTCATGCATGCTGATGAAGATCATGATCACATTTTTGTTTCATGCCCTTGTATCCAAATGGTTTGGAAGGAGGTTAAGAAGTGGGTTGGGATTCAGCCCATAAAGCATGAAAATTACAGGGATCCTATTTGACTTGATTTTTGGAAGCGAAAGGGACAAGTTCGAAATCGACTGCTTACTTGATTTGATTGGCTACATGTTAGAATATATAATAGACTAGAAATCAAGTGATTTTTAATGATAGTGTTGCTAATTCTACTGAAATTTTCCAAAGAATCCATCATTCTTCGTAGTGGTGGCTGACTCTTAACTCTCCTCATTCTATTAGGTGCAATTTCTATTAATGATTCAAATGACCTTCTAATTTTTTAAAAGAATTTGATTTTTAGTATAGTTGTAGAACTGTTTTATTGACTGACTGATACGTTGGTATATACATGATGGGTTGGGTATCTTTAATATTTCCAAAAATACAAATTTGATTAGAAAAAAAAAATAAAAAAAGTACTCGTAGATTTTTTCTAATCTCCATTAATTTACAACTAGGAGGTGTCATTTTATATTTTAACCGAATATTGTGTGACACAATTGTAAAATTAAATATAACTCTAAAACAACAATTAGAATTAAGATAACTATTATTCATTATTTTAATTTTAAAAAAAAAAAGTAAGGTAAGAGTCTCAATTATAGTATAAAATACATGCATCTAATCATCATGAAATTATTAATACCAATCTCGAATTATATCATCACTATTCACTAATACTATATAAGCTATATCTGAAATATAGCATTTTACTGTTAATTTGACTTCACTGTTTCTGATATGCTCAACAGCATCATTTTTTTTTTATATATTAATCAAAAGCATAAATTTCTTTTCGGTATTGTGCTTATCCTAATCTAACCTATATATTGTCTTTCCTTTTTTGCTTACCATATCTTCATTTTTAAATCCTAATATTTTAATGCACCTTCCTCCTTCTATTAATTTATCATCACTTAACAATTGCTTGCAAGCTAATATTGCATTTACGGGCGCTCCATCTTAATTCCGTTAAAAATAATGGATAGTAAATTTATCTGTATTTTATTTATTTATTTATTTATTTATTATATTTTTAATAAATTAATAAATTTGTTTTTATATTTTAATTAAAAAATTTATTTATTTTTTAGAATAATTTTTAATAAAATATATTTTAAAATAAATTTTACTTAAAAATAGTAATATATTTACAAATAAATATATAAAATAAAATCATTAATAAATATTTTAAAATTATAGTTTAAATATTAATTTTTAATTAATAAAAATAAATATTTTAAATGTTTGATAATTAAATTGACAACTCATAGATTAACTAATCCTTTTATTTATTATGTTTAAGGAGAAATAGACTTAAGACGAAATAAATTGAACAGATAAACCGACATAAAATCTCAAATTAATTAATTATTTTTAATGTATGTGCGACGAATCAATTACAACAATGATTATATTACATTAAGCATTTTAAATATCCATCTAATTTTATTTTTTAATTAAAAATATCTATGCATTTTGTCGTATCTTACCTCAAATAAATTTTGGAAGCATTCATGCATTTGTTAGTTACATGATAAACCTAACCCTATATAACCTATTACATCCTTATTTTAATTAGTCGGTATTATATTTAAAAATGAAAACGCTTTCTTAACACTATCTATTAAAGTATTTTAAAGTTATAAATAAAATATATAACACTAACATAGGGTCAAGAGAAAAATATACAGACGAATATAGATTTTAATTTTGAAATACTAGAGGACAAAATAGAGCTCTCTTGATGTTATTTTGGTTTCATATTATTAAATAACCAGCCGCCAGACACATGCCTTGAACGACCGTATTTTATGATATTTTATTAGGTTAGAAATTAATTAAATACGATCTTGAAAACTGGAAAAGAAAAATAAAAGTCAATAATTTACGTCCTTTCCAATAATATTTGAATATTGATGCATAGTGTTCTTTCTCTGTCAAGAATGGATATTAGAAAGAAACGTTTGATCTTTACTATTTAACAAC